AAATATTTAATTATATTTATTACAATTTGCCCAAACAGATAAATAACTTTGGTAAACAAATATATGTAATTTATAAAATACAATTCACTTTTAGACATAAATGTTGAACCAATAGCTTTTCTTATAATATCTATAGAAATTTAAAAGACGAGGTTGATATTTAAGTACTCATGGCCACTGATACCAATATAGATTCCACACATCTTGTAAATAAAAACATAATTTATCTTGAAAATAAATATTTAAAACTAGTTATAAACCTGTCACTGTTCCAATTACATTTGTCATTCTTTTTTTAATACGTTTATATGAAAATCTATAATTTTATAGCTTTTAAAAAAGTGAAACAGTTCAAAATTAATTTTATATTTTTCCTTTTTTATATACTTACATAAAAAAAATGCATTATAACTTAAATAAAAATAAAAATAATTCAAGCCACTTGATAAAATATACCAAACTGATTTAATTAGGCCTTGATTGGACGTTCCGTGCATAATAACTAGTTTAGTAGGTTTTTTTTATTATCTTGTAAAATGTTTTGCAAACCCAAAAATTACCGAACTACAATCACGTGTTTGCACGTTATCCAAACTATGAATACCTTATCGGCCTACGTCGAATGTAAACGTTATAATTGCAAATGGTATCGCTCTTTTAACGAGCAAAAGGTTTCAAAACATAATATAGGGGAATGGCGACGCACAGTTAACATAACCGTTCACGTGGCATGGAAAAAAATGTTATAATTTTATTTTAATTATTAAATATGTTTTATTTACACGCTGTATAAATTTCACTTATTAGGGGACGTTATACACTTATTTTTCTAGGGTAAAAACTTGACTACGCAGAATGCATTTTACTCGCATCATAATAGATTTAAACCATCTCATGATGGCAGTGTTGGGCCTTCATGGCCCGTTAAGCTGCACGATGATGATGATGATAATAGATTTAAAGCAAAAACACCTTTAAGGAAATCGAAAAGGATGACTTTTTGTAGGGAAAGACAGATTGAATTTTTTAAATATTTATTTTGCTATAAATATTAAGCCAAATATTAAATATATATTGAAAAGTATACGACATTTCCTTGAAAATGTCATATACTGTTTAAAACTTTCTTTTATTGCTAAATATTGTACACGAATCGCGTTATAATGTCTCAATTTGTAAAGTTACACTTTTAAGTATAAGTTGTCTCAAATAAAAAAAATATACCCTTTTACCTTCCTTTTTTTCTTCTCTTTTTTTATTTTATATTTCTCTCATTCACTCCATTTTTTTTTCTGTTTTTCGTTACGTTCTTCTATTTTATGAAACCTCGTACTTTTACTTCAAGTTTAGTGAATTATAAACAAAAACCAATACTACTCCTCATCTCATATCAATGTACTTTTAAAAATTGTATTTGCATTTGACCTCGGCATCAATGGCTTTAGGCATAATGTATACATTTACATGGTTAACTTAGACAATATACATATTTTTTTAAATAATTATAATGTATATAAGAATATAGATCGAAACACAAAACAACATTAACAACACAAATTTAGTATTTTAAAAATGTATACTTTGCTATAGAGTTTTTAAGATTTTTATTATGACATTTGTTATTCTGTTTTCATTCTTTTTAACATTACATAGGTACCTTAAACCTTCAGTACCTTCAAATAACATAATGTTAAATCTAATTAGTTCGTTATCGAATACCGTTCGTAGCATATTTGTCTTTATTATCTAAGTTCAATGTGTGTTGGATTACCATTGTATCTTTCACGCACAAGTATTTTCTTAGTGTATTTTATATACATAATATATAATTTTTAATATTGAGAGCTAAGGTATGCATAAAATACTTAATTCATGATATGTTTGTAGAATAATATTATACAAATTTAATATCATTAAAGTTTGAGAAAACAAATTTTAATAAATTATTTTTTATTCTCATTTGAGTGTTAATTGGTATTCTGAAGTAACAAATAAAAATATAATTTTTCTCTCTATCTCAATGTATTTGTCAATATGTACTTAGTATATAACTGCAAATCGAATTGTCATTATAGACCTAAAACCCATTAAAAAAAGAAAGAAAAAAGCAAATGGATACAACTGTTATTGTACGCGACTACCGGCGTCCTATTAAGGCTCGTGACCTATGTAGGGTTAAGTACAAATATAAGTATAAGTCGATATGACCTAAAATGTACTTCAACTAGGTTATCTTCCTACAACTAAAGCTACTGTATAAGTGCAATTGTATATTTAACTAATTTTCCTGTTATGATTTAAGAACAAGTATAGTAAGTAGTAACTGTATATTCTAAGCATATTAGTTGTGTAATATGATATAATAGTTAATAAAGGTTCATCAATCAGCACTAGATGGAATATTAGTATAATTATAAAATATGTATTATTTAATATAAACCAAAAAGATCTAACAAGGAAAAAACATGTATACGTGGCAGGCACGGTATTAATTAAACGCCCAAAACTTAATATTCTATAGTATCGGTATATGTACAGTATTATAATCATGCATATACATTATACATGTTCTTCCCGAGTTTTCCGATAAAATTACTTTTTCCGAATAATATAATAATATATAAAGAAAAATCCGAAGGTCTTAGTTTGAGAATATTTTTTAAACGCTTTTGGACATTGTTTACGCGTACACGTTTTTCCATTATAATAAGTAGACTCTGTCACGTCACGGGTCACGTTTTCGATTCGCTATGGGATTTTCGTGTTATTATACAATATACATATATATTATATATCCATAGAGCACGTTATTTATTTTTTGGATTTACTTACGCACTCCAGATTGTGTCGTGTAATCGCACCCAAGAAACTATCCCAAAACTCTATAGAACCTTTGTATTTAATAATGTGTTTTTGCATCGACTACATAGTATTATTTTGATACTTGACTGACAACGTTAACGTTGTACATCGTACTACACGGCAACTAGTAAAACTACAATATTATAATCGTCTAATTAATATTAGCCACGGCGGTGTAGTCTATGGTGAATGTGAACCGTGTACCACCAAAGTCCGATCAGCGCAGTCCAGACCAGCAACTGTTACGAAAATGGGTGGTCGGAACGGAAATAGATCGATATTATAATTAAAATAAATCATATCAACTAATACATTGGTTACCGTGACGTGGCCGCGGTGTTTAAACACTGGCGATGCAACGCTTGACACGGTGACAAGTCATTCCAGTATAAAACATTATGCTCGCTTTGTAAGTGATGTCAAAATATACTTAAAACAAATGTTGAATAATTAAAAATACATAATATTGTAAATCGCAACGACCCTAAAATGCAATAGATGCCAGCATCATGAGCAGGCGGCAGCACTACTGTTTAGGCTAAGTGGATTATCGTGGTGCCTCTGTCGTCCACACGCTGTTGCCGCCAACCCGAGGGGAATCGTATAGGGCGTGTCGGGCGGGTCGTTGATCTTGGGCCAAGTGGCTTATACAGGGTATCCACATATACACACACACACACATATTCGATTATTTATCACACCATGTACATATAAGTATGCTCGTCTCTCTCTCTCTCTTTTAACTTCTCCGATACTCGTTTCCTTCAATAACTTTTTAGACATAAAAAATCCACATAATAAATTCAACGAGTATATTACTTATCTACTTTGGCCTTACCCGAAAAACAAGATAATCACACCAGAAGAAAACCGGTTGCGCACCACCGTCATACCGGTGCTAGGACGTAGATTGTAATACTAGTAATAATAATAATAATAATATATATATTTTAATAATGTAATGTTTTTCCCCTTTAATCAAATAATAATATAATGGTTTTGTACTCGCATATTATTATTTTCATAAAGCGTATAAAAAAAAAAAAATGTATACGTACAACTATATAATATTAAGGACTGTTATAGTGGAATGTATATGTATAAATTATACAGAGGTTTATCAAATTATATTTTTTATGTACACACTGTGTATGGCTTGTACATTGTGTCTATGTGTAATATTATGCTGTCCGGATGCGTTATTTAGCGCAATAAACTCTGTTGGCCGCGTTCGCCGATAAACTATCGTGCGTCGCGTTACCCGGTCGGTCGATTCGCATAAATTAATAGTAATTCATAATTAAAACGAAAGACAAATTAAAACTACTTAACATTATCGACAGTCATTTTGACTACAACATGTGTACCTACTGTTCAAAAGAGACTATCGAGAAGAGGAAACTAAATAATTGCTAAGCTATACTTATATACTTACAATCTGGTCTTTGATCTCCTGGACTCCTACACAAACCGCATGATGGACGAAAACAGTTTAATACTTTACATCAAATGCCATAATATACAGGGTGATCTATTTATCGCGAGACACTCATTTTCTCGGAAAATAACTTTTCTTTTTCTTGTTTTCTTTTTGAAAACATTTTTACTTAGGCTAATAAACAATATTATAAAATTACCAAGTTTTTACCCTTTTTAGTATTTTCCAGAGCGCTAACAACCCTTTAAAGAAAAATTGGAACTTAGAGTAAATATTATTTTTTAGTGTCTATACATATTCCTTAGATATTGACGAATTCGACAAGTTATACATATTATCCTTATAACATGTAGTCATCGATGAGTCATGGGTTTTAATTTTTTGTCCAACACTGATACAAACTATACGATATTAAAATTATATTTCAGTTGAATTTAATTTCGAACGTATCTACAATTACTAATTAGTATAATATCTATATCTTTAAACAAGTTCGATTACAGTACATACGTAATAAGTAATAGAAAATAATTATTTACATTAGTTGTTCTAATATATATATAAAAAATAATAAATGTGTTAATACTCTAATATTGGCAGTTGGCACTGATTTTTGTAGTTTGAGAAACAGCCTCTGTACTTTGTACCTATTATACGTTAATGGTCATTATAATTAGTTTTCAAACAATATTACCTAATAATTAATAAAGTCAATTATCTAATGAGTTTTCTAATCTTTTAAAATGGAGAAACCGGTATAATTCGTTGTAAGGATATGTTATTATTTTAGATGACATCTTTGGTAAAACACATATTTGTATCAATAATAACAATAATTATCTAGTTTGACAAATTATAAACAACAATATACAAGATTTTGTATATAGTATTATTTGAATTATGATTATTATGACCAACCTATGGCAGAAGTTCAGAGTTTGTGTATTACAAAAAAATCTGAAAAATTGAGATTGGTGTTAGGTAAATAGCCTGTTTTACTTAGCATATCACAGATCTGAGGTCACATCAATCGCTTGGATCTTAAAAATAAAACGATGTCTAAAAATTGAAACTTTAAACATTGTTTTTATAATCGTCTGTAAAATTATCCAAATTTCCAGTATCACAAGTTTTATCTTTCAATTAGACTATTAATACAGTTTACTCTCGATAATCCCCAAGAATATTCTATAGTAGGCAATATAAGAGTACTTAAAATTTAACGGTAGCTTAACACTACTGAAAATATAAATTACCTAAACTGCACTTAAATTTTAAAGTTGGACAAACAGCAATCAGGCGGTTAGAATGTCTTTGTCATTTTAAATTAGATACATTTGGCCCATTACATCAACTATAGTGAGTATAATATTATGTTCAAATTTCTTAATGTAATTTAATTCAAAGCAACGTTGTAAATGAGCGTCTGGCCATGTTAATACAATTAAAAATATAGATAATTAAAATAAAATAATTTGTGAAAATCTTCAACGTATCCCTTGAAACGTTTTTAAGTCGTTGGCGGTACTTATGATATATTCTAATCGGAACAGCAGTTATTCGGGTTACGCCTTTCCTGACCACAATCCGGTTACCTGCGGCAGTATAATTGTTTTAATTTTACTTAACTACCATTGCCTGTCATGTCGGATAGGTTACGACTTACATATTAAACGCCGTTGCAGTTTTTATTCTACACGAGCACTGTTTGAAATCCGCATCGTCTGTAATGAATAGGCAGTATACGTACAGTAGGTATAGGTAATTTCAAGCGTTATTTACAACCAAAACTGATTACCGTTTCAGGCGTTTCTTCACCATTCGCTTTAAAGGTATAACGCATGAACGGCGTTTCATCAAACGAAACCACACCTCCGCGTTTTGATTAAATAATAATTAAAAAACTCTCATAGGTCTTAAGTGAATGTGCATGATCTTCCTTTTAGGGTTGGATACAAATTCAATTCCGACCGTGGGGATGCTGTAAAAGACAAATTAATTAAATATTCTAGCTAAACTATATTCAACTTTCGTTGTAACGCTTTGAAATCCCCACGGCCCGCTGTTTTAAGTGATATCTGAAATACTTACTATGATTCTGCGATGGCAAAAACGGTATCTATATATGCATGAGTAGAATTATATACACTCAATTGGTCCATATCCTTCAATCAAAATTAATCACTTTATAGTATATACTTTATACATAATAGTTTAAATAACACTTATAATAAGTGATTCGTAACACCATAGAATTTGTGGTGGCGCTTAAACAATTTATTTTTAACAAAACAGAAACTTAAACGATATACGCTGTCTTAAAAGAACCATAGTGTGTAAATTTGGAGCAAGGTTATACGGTAATCTTATTGAAATTCAACGCGATCGTTAATGCCATACATCGTGTCCGAAAGTAAAATATGTTGTTTTTTTTTACTCGTTGACAGAGTTTACTAAAACGATCTAGGCATTCAGTGTAAACAGTGTCCAACGTTATAACCAGCGGATTACTTACTTATAAGAACGCCATATTTAAATTTAAAAAAACTTACACAACTAATATTACCTATATTAATCTAATCTTTTAGATTAAGAAAAAAAAAAGTAATGTATTGTAACATTATGTAAATTCATAAAAATATGCAAACAACCAACTAGAAAATAATATATCTATACAATCCGGGCAAGCATCTAAGCATCTCAGTCATTTTCACTAACAAATAACACTTGACGGAGAAAAAATAATTAAACATAGTAAAGGGAAATGGCAGTAATTATTATAGACAAAAAAATATAGAAACACTCAACCGTGAACTTCCAAGAAATGGAAAACGGGTTATTTTATGTTAATTAACTACATTTACTTCTAACCTTACATAATAATATGATCACCCTAGACGTTATAACACCATAGAGGGATGAGGGCGTAATGAACTCCAAAAGGTTTATCGTTTTATCCTAGCTTCTTATACGGATGAATATTTGTTCGGGTGGTTACAAATGAAAAAAAAGAATCGGGGTGAAGAGGAAAAGCCACCGAATACGCTTTATTTTATAGAATCGCACCCTCTTTGGAATTTTCAGAGAATATACGGGTTATATCGTATGAAAACGGGTGCTTAAAAATAAGTCGAATTCATAGGGGGATCCGGGATGTATAGTGGGAAGTCTCTAGCTCTTTCTCTCTAAATGATTTTTGTTAAGCACAGTTATATTACGTTTTTATGGGTACATAAAATGTAATACTGAATTAGCGCAAAATAAAAGTTGCAGTAAATGTCCGGCTGGTTTCTGAAACCTGCTAAACTCAATTATAGCATTTTGTTTTATTATATTCTATTTCACGCTTGACTTGTTTTCTGTTGAACGTTATGTACTAATCGCATATTTTTTAAATGTGATTAGCGTATACTAGCTTCACCGGGTTATAGCAGTTTACAGAGTTCTTTTGGCCACGGTTAGTCTTATATAAAATTAGCATTTTATCAAATCGTTATAAGCCGCCATCACACAATTACCAACGCTCGTTCGGTATGTACGTGTATATCAATAATATGAATTACCATTAAAAAGCATAAAGAAAAAAGGCCAAAGTCAATGGCACACGATTGCAATACTGTCAGAATAGCGGTCATTATAAATCGGAATGTCATCCGAGACCGATAAGCGCATAAGAACGTATGGTACTTGTTATCTAGATAAACGTGATAATGTAAACATTTGTAGCACAGGCCGGAAAACAAATGACAGATAAACTTTGATTATCTTTTAATAGGATAAAGCAGAGGTTTTAATTATGAATATAATTGTAATGGCGAGAACTGAATTTCTGAGGTAAACTGTGATTATTTTGTTGAAAAACATAGTAAATCTATGTCATTGAATACGATTGCGGTGAACCAAGAAATACCCCAATTAGCTGAGAAAAAAAAATTGTACCTACGTGTATTATAGCACCTTTAAAAATACGGGACATCCCAGTATGTGCTATATGTATTAGGCGTACGTTTTTCGGTGAATATTTAATGAGTGGGTCTGCTTGACGAGATCTGCTGATCGATTCTCACGGCCAAACAAATACAACTAAGTTCGTTGTCCGTAAAAGGGTTCAAAGGGTACTTCTTTTTCGTAACCGAGTTTTGTATTTAAATTTCAACCTATTTACATTTAAAGCGCGTTCTATTAGGTACTCTGTAGGGTTCACCGTGATCAGTGTGTTCTTGTATAAAAATGTTAATGAGAGTTATGTACATGCATGAGATTCGTGACTGTGGAAACCTTAGTATTGCACACATCTTCAACCGTCGATGGTTAAACCAAACGAAAATTAAAATAATCTATGGTAATTTCTACGACCCGTTTATTTTGTATTAAGTAGCCTGCACGTAGTTATTTATTAAGGAGTAAAAAAATAGGCAATAATTTATAAAAAATAAAACCGTTTAATTATGTTATTTCATTTTCTAAGTTAAAGTGTACTATTGCTGTAGTGTATTATTATTATTATTATTATTATTAGTGTATAATCGCTCATAATAATAACACTTATGTCAGTTTTGGTATTAAAAAAAATATTAACGAAAAAAAGGATGACGTCTCGTAAAATGATAAGATATTATTATTATATTTTTTTTTTTTAGAGAAAAAAGACTTTTAGACGGGTTAATTAACCACCAATTAAGTTTTATTAAGTTTAAAGATAAACAAAAAAATGAACAAAAATAATACGATATTAAAGCTCTCATTTCAGCGTAAAGAAGTTTGTATGTCAAAAATCGAGTGTTTTGAGCAGTGTAGGAGCACCAAGTTTTTCTTTTAAAAAAAAAAATCTAAGTTCTTTGTCGGAGTATCTTTGTCGTTGATAGTTTTGGTTAGGATATGATACTTAATATTAGTGTTCCGTAGCTACATAAGCAAAAGGGCGTTGTTGAAAATAGACTATGAAGAGATGAAGATTAAGAAGGAGTCAGGTGAATGAGAGGTAACGCATGTTCTTGAATAAAACCACGTTTGGGTCTGTTTACAGTGAAAACATAAATTTTGGGGTGGCGATTACGTTTTCGTTTAGAATGACTGTTGAAAATTGTATGTTTTAGGTTATGTTTTATTAATGAAAATTGTTTTTCATAATAAAAATCGTTCAACAAAAAAAAAAAACACATCTGTATAATAATATTTCAAAAAAATCGTTAATATTAATTGGTATATTATAATTTCCAATTATGGAGTAATAACTACTAATTCCTTGCAATCGGATAATTGCGTTGGAAAAAAACAAAATATCCCTAATTAGTTGTGCGGGTTTTTATAATTTCCTATTTGATATCTATATTAGAATCTAACGTTATTATAATAATATACAATCGTGTGTGCGCCACATGCATGAATAATTTATACAATCGATACGACGATGCCTAATAGACGTATGAGTCAATTATCAGGTTGAAGTAAAAAAAATAAAATCATTTTTTCCCAAAAGTACGATTATTAAAATTAGTATTTATATTAGGCATTGTAACATTTTGATTAAACTCATAGAGTGCGGCGACGAGCAGTTTTTTTGAACTCGTAATTGTAATATAATTTATATTGTTGTAAATAAAAAAGTAAGGCTTTTTCGACCAGGTTGAGAGTGCGTTGTATATTCTAAAGTCAACTGAACTCCCCTCTTCTTGTAAATATAATATTATCTGTTCGACGTTGGAGTGTTTAGACTCTGCTGCCGGGTATACATAAGAGTAAAGAGTTCAGAGTCCTTACTCGAAATTAAAAAAAAAAAAGGAGACATACTGCATTAGAAAAACTAGCACACAATCATAGGATTCATGAACGTTGGACGCATTGTTATGGTGTTTTTCGTGTCAAATCAAGATGCATCGTCACGAACCCGTCTGCCAATATAATAATAATAATAACACGAGTACTTATACACACACATATACAAACACATTAATATTATATTATATATATATATTTATAGGGGTGTCCCCATGACTCGTTGGCGTGGCCGTTGCCGCATATAATTTTGTTTTGTTTTGTTAGTTCCTATAACACCTTTAGGGTCTGATGCGGACAAACGTGAAATAAAAAACACTATGCACGCGTCTTATTGCTATCCGCGCATAAACACAATGAACTAATGCCTTTTGAGCGTGCTATCCTAACCGTACGGCGCGACCGTAGAGGAGAAAATGGAAACGGTCTCTCTCGCGCATATTATTAGTATAAAAATAATGCATAATAATGCGGGTACGTGAGAAACCGGCGGCCCTTACTATTATATTGTATAGTACATGTTCACCACCGGCTGCAAAAGGGGTTCTCCGCTGCGCTATCGTCTTGGTGTGTTCAAAGGTTCGGGACACGCCGCCGGTGGTTCGTCGTTCGTCGTTGTTAGGTTATAATAATAATAATGGTAATAATTATCGTTATCATCGTGAATCGTGCATGGCTTCTATTTTATAGCCGTTTAGTGTTGCACGGACCGAACCGGCTAGTGTCCAAAACGTTTAATTTACTAAAAATTGTTCAGACGGCAATCGCGTTCGACTCGTGATCGAAACGGATAAACGCAAAGTAGTCTTATCAAATCCGCACAAGGTGCTAGGTGAGTAACAACCGGTTATGCTTTTCGCCTTTCGGACAGTGACACTATCATTATTATTACTCGCAGCGATTGGACTGAAAGTTCTGAAGCAATCAAATCGAAAAAATTCCATCCTGACACAAGGAGAACTCATAACTCAGTGGATTGCTTTTTCGGAAACAATCGTTGATCAAAAAGTTTTGGCCAAAATGTTCGATTTTTTTCACGAGGACTAACGCATTGAACGAATGTAGAGCCGACGAACAAATTGGAGAATTTATATTATTACATATGAATATCGCAACTTATCTTAAATATCGTCGCCAAAGTGTGACGGTGCGTTTGGTTCTTTTAAACATTTAATTAGAAAATAAATATCTTACACAATAATACAATTTATGCCCGAAAAAGTCAATTAGCCGTGGGAATACATTGGTAAAAGCCTTAGATCCGGTTTTTCGGTCGCGCTGGGATTCGTTTCATCTGTTTATACGGATTCGCAACGGATTTATGAGAAAAACGGATTAAAGCAATCCAACCAGTTTTGTTCGCGTGTAACTTAAAATTGCGATGCAAAAA